TCCTTCTTAGGCATTGGTTGAGCTAGTCCCACCATCAAGGGTGATAGTGAGGACTTGAGACAGAAGCTCTTTTAGCTTGGATGGGTCCCTGGATTGTTCTGAAGTCACCAAGGCTTTGGCTCTAGAGAATGGCCTTGATCTCCCCTTGTACCTTATCTTGTACTCAATCTTCCCATTTTCAAACTTGATGGGGAACAAAATCATTGTGAGCTGAGATGGCTTGGATGAAGGGGCCTGAGCTGGTGGATCTTTTCTTTTATCCCCTGGTCTTGCCTTAGAGGCTACATCCTCCCCTTCTTTTAGAGCCCTTCCTAGTGGCTCATCAAACAAAGCTTGAAGGCTTTCTCCATCAAGCACACAAGAGGCTTGAACAAGGCGATCAGCTCGTGGTCTATCAGAACGTGGTTTCTCAATTCTAGCCCTCTCAAGACTTGGCTTCTCAATCCTTGGCTCTCTCTCTCAAAATATTTATATTTATATATATTAATTTTTTTTTTTTTTTTTTTTGAAATTAAACAACTTTTATTGAAATAAGCAAGTGCAAATACAAAGCAAATAATCGAGGATCTAAGATTCAAGAAGCAAGAGCTTCAAGAACACAAAGATGGATTAGGGTTGCTAAAAAGTAAAGACAATAAATTAAAGAGAAACTAAAACAAAATAAAGTAAAGCTTGGTGTTTTTTCGTGGCTTTTAGCCCTTAAATACAAGAGGATTAGGTTTAGGGTCAAAGGAAAGTCAAGGGGGAAGCAACATTTTTCGGGTTTGACTGTTGACTTCTCAGCTCGATCGAGGAAGACGTCGAGCTGGTCTTCAAGATGGCTTCTCCCTTCTTCCTTTGCGTATCCAGTTGAGCTGCGTCCATGTGCCAAGTCCCTCCATGCTCCTCATGTCCCATATGCTCCAGAATGCTCCAAAAGACCTATTTCAAAGGACCAAACATGCATATGTATGCAAATGCAACCTAAAACTAACATGAATGCATAAGAAGAGAAAAGGAACAAGATATGATGCAAATGGAAGCTAAAACTATGCAAAAGATGCATAAAAGATGTGCTAAAACTATGTAAAATGCAAGTACATCAACACCCCCAAACTTGAACTTTGCTTGCCCTCAAGCAAACAAATAGAACAAGAAGAGATGAGGTTTGAAAACAAGCTGATTCAACACTTAAAAACATGTCCTCAAAAGCGATTTGCTAAATGTCCAACTTAGAGATTCTAGAATGCAACAAGGTGAGAGATATTCATTAAGATTTAACCATGCTTATCAACATCAATCCCACTTCACAGTCACTCAAACAATGCATTCAAATCAGCAAATCCCTTTAACATTCATTAAGCAAAAACAGTGAACCAAAAACATGCAAGATCAATCAACTCATTTGGTTTCAAGGGTTTATGGGTTAAGAGACAAAGAGGTCTCAGGGGTATGGGTTGTATGGTGGTTTAACAGGGATCTCTCAAGAAAGTGGCTTTGCTTTGGCAGAAGGCTAAGTGTTAGAACCAAAGATGATGCAAGAACAGCAGCTCGAGCCGTCTAATCCTAACTCGATCGAGTTCAACACTTAGAGCTTTTTAGAACAAAATCCTAACTACCCTTTTTGGCATTTCGCCTTTGAAACTGAGGAGCTTTGCTCACTTTTCTTTTAAGAACTTCCTAGGGAGAGGCTTCTTGAGGTAACATCTAGCGGTTTGGGATTTTCTAAACACTTAGGGAACTTTTCTTTCCTTTTTGACACTTGAGGCTTTGCCTTCTTTTCATTCTACTTAGAACCCTTTTTACTTCCTTTTTTAACTTCCCAAACCTTTACTAGACCCTTTTTAACACTGCCAACTCCCTGGACTTAACAAACTCTTTTTCCTTTGGTTTTTCCCAATTTTTACCACTTTTCTGGTTTTTACACCCAACTCGATCGAGCTCGAGTTGGCACCCCCAAACTTAGCCTGAAAACAATCCCAAGAGAACTAGACAACTAGAACTACTGCCCCTGCCGGTTTAAACACAACACCTTATGCTAAGCAAAGCCAAGAAAGGTTCTCACATTCGCACAAGAGATAAATGGGGTTTGAAATGAAAAGGCTTAGGTTTAAGGTGTGGTAACTGTCTCAAAGATGGAGATCAGCTATCTGGACAAGCAAAGGGATATGAAAATGGTAAAGAATGTCCAGATATGTATGTGGTAGCCATGAGTTGAAATCAAATGCAAGCATTGGTAATTAAAGATCAAGTTATGGTTCAAATAGATAGGGAAATGCATCAAATCACAGCAATGGTTGAATGAGATGTGCATGCAGTGATATGATCAAGATAAACATGGTTCTTGCTGCTCAATCAATCTCACCCTAATGCACAAAAGAATCTAAAAACAGGGCACTCAAGAAATCGCAAAAGATGGACAAGTTTTCAAAGTCAAATCAACAATGCAAGTGAAAAATGCAATCCTAAACAAGTCTAACAAATATGAATGCAAAAAGATGAAAATATTTTTGGATTTTTTTGAAAATTTTATGATTTTTTTGGTTTTTCTATGCAAAAGATGAATGAAAAACTAAGAACAAAGAAAACAAGGTTAAATCATCTCTTGAACCCTCCCCCAAACTTAAATCACACAGTCCCTTGTGTGAGAAAAATTTAGTGAAAGATTCAAGAGGCAAAACCAAGAAAAACAAAAACAAATGCAAGAAAATATGAAATGGTATATACAAGGGTTGGTGTTTGGATACCTCAGTGCCCCCCAAAGAACTGGGAGGCTAGGTCGTGGTCTGGAGATGGTAGACGGCCATCAGGAGCACTCCACTCACTTGTCTGTGCAGCTCGATCGAGCTTGCTCTTCCTCTTCCTCTTCCTTCAAAGTGTGTGGCTTCCTTGGCCTTGGTGGAGCATTGCTAGCTCGTACTGTCCATAGGGGTTCCATCTACTCCGGGGAGGCTCCTGGTAAGGCATGGGATCGTATTCAAATCCCGGATCCTCGAACTGGCTCCTCAAGGCCAACTCGACCGTCAGCTCGATCGAGTTGAGTTTCCTCTGATGGACTCGATCGAGTCCGGTGGTCGAGTTGGAGCGTCTGGACCTTAGAAGTCTTCCTCCTTCTCTGCGTGTTGTCTCCTCCCTTCTCTTGGCTCGAAAGAAGAGCTCTGTGAGGCTCTTGGGCAGGGAGCCTCCTTGGAGTGGTGAGAAGGATCTACTCCTAAGGAATGTGGAACTCATGGGGCCTTCTTCTTCTTGCTTGAAGAACCAGAAACCTTCTTCTCCAAACTTTTGATCTTGCTCACCATCTTGTCCATGGACTTTTGCATCTTTTCAATGGCCTTCCCTTGCCATTTGTTGAACTTTTGGAGAAGTCCAATCCTCTTGTGGGCAGCCACAACAGAGGGGTTCATCCTTGGAGCCTCATACTCCTCAAAGTAATAGCACTCAGGCTCACCCAAATCCGCACTTTCCTGGACCTGATCTTCAGCTCGAGACTCAGCTCGATCGAGCTCAGGCTCCTCTTCTCGCAAATCATCCTCATGCCCAACTAATGTGTACACAGGGGGTCTGAAGTCAATGTTCTCACCCCTTACTACTGTGGTGAGCTCTGGGTTAGGCAGGAGAAACTTGGAGGGTCCAACCAATGGATGTGTGAACTTGAATTGGAACCTCCCATCCAACTCCTTGTGCTCAATGAGAAGGTTGGTCTTGCAAAACTTGATGTCCATCCAACCTGGTTCAGTGGCTCTCCTATCAGTTGGGTTCACTCCAGCAGCACACAAGATAGGTGTGATGAGCCCTCCAATACTTAGGCGCCTTCCTCTTGATGTCTAGTGTTGTAGGCCGTGATCTTGTAGGTAAGGAGGTGGTCAAGGAAAGGCATCAAGTTCCCTGTGTCAGATCTATCTCCCCTTATCCTCTTGCCATCGCTTGTGCGTGAGAGAAGGGGCTTGATTCCCATGTCAAGAAACTTGAGTTCCCCCTCGTTGATGGTCCCGGTCGCCTTCCTTGCAAAGAAGGTGTTGGCAAGTGCCTTGTGCACATACCTCAAGACTGGGCTCCTGATCTGAGCTGCCTTGGACCTTGAGGAAGAGTACACTCCATCAGCGATTGTAGCCCAAACCCTTTGGAGTTCCTTTTCCTTGAAGTTCCACTTGGTACCCTCTCCATAGTTGAACCCAAACAAGATTTCCAGCTGCCTAAAGGTCACCATTCTCTTCTCTCCCTTAGCCAAGAACGTGATCCATCCCAATCCTTGGTCCAAATCAGCTCTATCTTCCTCTTATACATGTGGTACCTCATTGAAGCTAAGAACTCGCAAGTGAGCTCCTTGTAGGATTCCATGTGATAAGAGAAAAGCTTGGCCAAGTGCATGTTCTTGAGAATTAGCTCCACATCCTCAAAGATTCCAAGGGCCTTCATCGTGTCAACATGAGGGTACTTGGTGTCCATGAAGTCCATGGAGAAGAGGGCATTGTAATGCTCTTGGTACATAGGGAGTTCTTCCTCCTCTCTTGCGGCTGATCTTGTGGCTCAACTTCCTCCATAGGTTCATCTTGGTTACTTTCTTGCTCACTTTCTTCAACCAACTGATTCACCTCTTCTCCTTCCTCTTCACTCTCAGTCTCATCACTTCCTTCTTCACTTGGAGAGCTATTTCCCTCGATCTTTGACCTTTGGTAGGAAGGTGGGTGAAGTAAGCAGGTTGAACTGATGAGTAGACTCTTGTAGGACCTCTGAAACTTTATCACTGTTGGCTAGAACATCCTTGACCATTTGCATTTGATCAAATGCCTCACTCATGCTATCCATAGGAGGCAACTCAATTCCAATCCCACTGAGATCTCTTCTGAACTTGTGAATCACTTCCTTGTGACCTTGACTAAGTAGGCGAGACGAGGAAGCGGCAACCGGTTGGTAAGGATCAAGCAAAACAGGCTGTCGGACAGAAGAGGTCGGACTCGATCGAGCTAGAGTTGGACTCGATCGAGCTGCCGATCGAGCTTGTCGTGCGAGCTCAACTGGTGAAGTGTGAATGGCCACAGTAGGTGCATGCACTTCTGGTTGATCAATCTGGACTCCAGGAGCCTCAGCAGCAACAATCTCTTCATCATTCAGCAGTAAACAAAAATCTTCAATGACCCTTTCTTGATCCTCTTCTTCAACAAGTCCTTCTTGAGTGAAGATGACCTTGCACTGTTCCTTGGGGTTCTGAATAGCTTTACCAGGTAGTTGTCCTTGCTTTGTAGCAGCAGCAACAGAAGAAGCATGATTCTCCAGAGAGTAAACCCTTGTGTTGAGGTTCTCGATCTTAGAGTTTATTTCAGCTAGCTTCTTGCTTGTGTCCACTACCCCATCAGCTTGCCCTTGAAGTAGTTGCTTTAGCATTGCCTTGAGCTCATTCTCTTGTGAAGGTGCAGGCTGGGGCGGTTGGTGGGGGAAGCCTGGTGGGATATTCATTTGTTGTCCAGGGAAAGTGCCTTGTGGTCCTTGGTAATTGTTCTTTTGACCATACCCATGTTGTGGCCTGACTCGATCGAGCTGCTTGTTGTTGAGGATATACTTGGTCCTGAGGGTTAGCAACATCAGTGTTGCGGTATGACATGGCAGGGTTGGACTTGTAATTATAGTATCCTTTGTTGTAACCTCCTTGCCCATTGCTCATGTAGCACACCTCAGCAAATTGTGTATCCTCCCCTTCTTGGACTGGTTCCATCTCCTCAGCAGACACAAAGTTGACTTTCTTCATTGTGGACTGAGCTAGGATCAGCTTATCCAACTTCTCATTCAATGCCTTAACATCTTTTCTCAACTTTTCGTCTGACTCGATCGAGTGGTGGGTCGAGCTCCGGTTGGTGCGATCATACTCTTCTCCATAGCTTCCATTTGAGTTAGCTATGTTCTCCACAAGTTGCCAGCCATCATCTACATCCTGGTTGAGGAAGTTCCCATTGCTAGCTGTGTCTAGCATCTCCCTATACCTAGGCAAGCATCCTCTATAAAGAGTGGAGAGTAGGATTCATTGTTGAATCCATGGTGTGGGCACTGACTTGTGTAGCCTTTGAACCTCTCCCAAGCCTCTGCGAATGTCTCATTGTTTCGCTGGATGAAGCTGGATATCTCTCCTCTAAGCTTGGCTGTGCGACCGGTGGAGAAAAACTTAGCAAGAAAGGCCTTCTTGCATTCATCCCAAGTGGTGATTGTGCCATGGGGCAAGCTCTTCTCCCATTGGTGAGCTTTGTCAGCTAGAGACATAGGAAAGAGTCTCAGCTTGATGGCATCTTCAGAGACACCATTGATCTTTGTCAAATCACAAAGCCTATCAAACTCATCAAGGTGGTCAATGGGGTCTTCACTTGGCAATCCATGGAACATCTTGTTCTGGACAAGGTTGATCATTCCCAGCTTGATCTCAAAGTTGTGGTTCTGCACTGGTGGTGGAACAATCCCTTGTCTCTGTTGGTGGCGGTTTGGAGCATCTCCTTGACCAATCGGTCGAGTTTGCCTAGCTCGACCGAGTCCATTCCCAAAGGGTTTCCATTCCCCTCTGGTACATCCATTGTATCAGCAACAAGCACCTCAGGTTCCTCTTGTACCCTCTGTGACCTCTGAACCCTCTTTCTACCCGTTGTAAAGTCTAGCTCGACCAAGTCTCTGTAGACCGACTCGATCGAGTTCGCATACACCTGCAAAAAGAGACAAAAACCCAGCAGTACAATAGAACAGGGGTGGTATAGCTTGATCGTCCAAGTGTGTTTGAAACTCAAATGCAACAAAAATATTCCCAAATCGGCAACGGCGCCAAATTGATGATAGGATTTGTGTGTGGATGTGAAAAGATATGAAATGAGATGTGGAATGCAACAGTGGTATATGATGAGGTGGTAAGATGCAAACACAAACACAGTCAACAATTCCCTTTAACCATCATAGTTGTAGTACAAAGGGTTATCAATCCAAAATGGGAAACTTGTCACTCTATGAGAATATGAAACAACCAGAAAGTCAAGCAAGCAGTAATAGATTTGAAGTAACACTAACAACCTAAATAAATGAAATGCAATGCAATAAAAGTAAACAAAGCAGAAGTAACAGCTCGACCAAGACTCGAGTCGAGTTAACAAAGTACCAGCTCGATCGAGTTTAGGGACGAGTTGAGACAAAAAGCTAAAGGTGACGACTTTAACAAGATAGAGAGAATTAGGGTTCAAGACAGGGTTTTGCAATCAAAGGAATCTACACTTAATCAATCTAGCTCTTAAAACTCCTTGTATCAAGGCTTCTCTTGATATTGGGCTTCTCAATGCCTAGCCAACCCTTTCCCAAGGTGAGGCTATCAACCAAGGAATGATCTCAGAAACAGGGGGTTAGCCAGTGAGAATCAAACCTTGGAGGCTATAGGATCATTGCCCAAACTAATCCATCCAACCCCTTAGACCTCTATTTCTAGAGCAAGAGATATTGGAGCTCTTAGTGGATCTTTTCCAGCGAATGCCATCACTTTCGTGTGGGGAGTCGCCTAAGGACTTACAAGCCAGGGGTAGTGGTCATGTAGCCTTAAGATCTATCCAAAAGAGAGAGAATCTAGATTAAGACCATAAGCTAGAAGGATTAAGCATATGAAACCTCTAATCTATCCCATCTCAAACCCTAATGGGTAACTACTCACTACACATGAATGTAAACACAAGCAAATGCAATAAAAGAGACATCATAAGAAAGAGGAGATGAAATTAAACAACTTTTATTGAAATAAGCAAGTGCAAATACAAAGAGATTATCCAGGATCTAAGATTCAAGAAGCAAGAGCTTCAAGAACACAAAGATGGGATTAGATCTCTAAAAAGTAAAAGACAATAAATTAAAAGAAACTAAAACAAAATAATCTAAAGCTTGGTGGTTTTTTCGTGGCTTAGAGCCTTTAAATACAAAGAGGATTAGGTTTAGGGTCAAAGGAAAGTCAAGGGGGAAGCAACATTTTTCGGGTTTGACTTTGACTTCCAGCTCGATCGAGTTGAAGCTTGGCCGGTCGAGTTGAGGAACTCGACCGGTTGGTCGAGTAGACGGTCGAGCTGGTCTTCAAGATGGCTTCTCCCTTCTTCCTTTGCGTATCCAGTTGAGCTGCTTCCATGTGCCAAGTCCCTCCATGCTCCTTGTCCCATATGCTCCAGAATGCTCCAAAAGACCTATTTCAAAGGACCAAACATGCATATGTATGCAAATGCAACCTAAAACTAACATGAATGCATAAGAAGAGAAAAGGAACAAGATATGATGCAAATGGAAGCTAAAACTATGCAAAAGATGCATAAAAGATGTGCTAAAACTATGTAAAATGCAAGTACATCAACACCCCCAAACTTGAACTTTGCTTGCCCTCAAGCAAACAAATAGAACAAGAAGAGATGAGGTTTGAAAACAGCTGATTCAACACTTAAAAACATGTCCTCAAAAGCGATTTGCTAAATGTCCAACTTAGAGATTCTAGAATGCAACAAGGTGAGAGATATTCATTAAGATTTAACCATGCTTATCAACATCAATCCCACTTCACAGTCACTCAAACAATGCATTCAAATCAGCAAATCCCTTTAACATCAGAACTTTGAAAGGTCAATTTCTCCCTACTTTTCTAGGGTATCATTTTATTTTTTCTATTGACCCTTCTTTCAACCACAGGATAAGTCTTTAGCTTGTTCCTTGTTTGACTAAGGTATTCCATAAGACATGAAGGTACAGACATATGCATTCCTCATGCTTACTTGTTTTCCTTGTGCTCTTTGAGCTTTTTCTCATAAACATTACTTACCATTTGGGATGGGAGAGAGAGGAGAACTCTTTAAAGATTAGACAAATCTTATTGAAAATCAAGCAAGGAACTGTCGACATGTATGCCAACCCCCTTGACAAGAGTATTAAGATTGATTAAGGTGAGGTTAACTCTAGATTGCTTGGTTACCTTAGAAATTTTGCTGAGCTAGCATGTCGATCCACTGTAAGAGCTTCTGTTAGGCTTGTGCCTTTAGCTGGTTTCTGCTCTAGGGTCATGGATTGTTAGCATAACACTCTCAATTCTCAAAGCAAGTTCATAACTTCCGGACTGGTTTTTGACTCAATAAAACTTTTTGAAAAACATGAAACAAAGTGAATAAAACATAAGAAAAGAAAGAAAAATGCATTAGTAACACAATAAAACTCCCCCCAGACTTAACTTGCACCGTCCCGGTGAAAGCAAATCACATTAAGGTGAGAGGTAATATTCAAAGTAAAAGAAAAATAAAGAAAAATTCATTAAAATAGATAGGGATAGAAAATGGAGATTTGTAAGTGTCCATTGCACTAAGTACCACTTGAGATGACTATGTGTGGCAGTGAGAAGAACTCTCTTCCTCATCTATGGGGTCATCGCCTTCTGAACCAAGCTCTGAGTCTAGTGAGAACTCACCAAGGTCAGGCTCATATGGCTCTCTAGCGGTGGAAGAAGGGCGAAAGAGTCTCTCCGGTGCAATGTGGCGAACTACACGAACTAGGCGTGAGATGAAGCGAGATTGGCATTCCACTATCTTCTCCAGCTTGTTAACACGGTCTAGAGCTTGGTGCGCGCCATGCCAGTAGTGAGAACATGGCGTTCTTGGTGGCGGCGTTGAGTCTTGACTGCATGCTGAAGTGTGCGATAGGTGAGCATGGGGAATGATGGTTTCTCACTTGATGGAACATAGAAGTCTTCCTCATTGGGCTGGAAAGTGACAACACCTGAGCGTAGGCTTGGGATGTCTCATGTGGCAGCAAGACAAGGGAAGTGTTGGCTGGACCAATTGGAAACTCATAGCAAAACCGAGTTGGGTCTTTAGTCCAACGGTTTAGGAAGTGGATGTGCTGAAGAGCATGGAGATCCAAAGGGGTTGGCTTGGGTAGTGGCTCATAGTTGGGAATGTCAATCCCCACATGCAGTACTATGGCCGTGATAAGCCTCCCAAAACGAACACAAAGCTTCTTGTTGCCTTCCAAGTCTTGAGCTAGCTTCCTCACATTGATGAATGTCTTGGCAAGTAAAAGTCCAAGGTTGGCCTTGTACTCATGCTTGATGAATGGTGTGGTGAGGATGTAGAACTCATCAGTTGTGACCTTGTTGGCTTCTTGTTTGCATTGGAAAGTGGTGGAGATGAGGCGGTGCACATAGCGAATGGCTGGATGGTGATTCTAGACACCTTTGACCTTGAAGGCAAGAATGGTTCATTGGCAAAGTGTGTCCAATCAGCAAAGGCAGCTTGTTTCCTCTTTGAGTTCTCCTTGAAGTCATGTGCTGTCTCATTGGGAAGTCCAAAGAGTTGGCATAGAGCTGAGATGGAGATGCGCCCATTGGCATCGCCTATCTTGAAGAGTAGGAGTCCATCACCAGCTGGTTGGTCTCCATTGTGGTTGGGAAAGGCAAGAGCTACTGTACTCCTTGGTGAGTTGTGAGTACTCACTACATCTAGCTTGAAGAGCTTGCTCAAGCCTAGCTTCCTTATGTACCATGTGACATCATCTCTTATCTTGAGAAGGTCAAGGGTTTGGGTGTCCATCTTCACACATGGCTCGATGTTCACCTTCTCCATTGCCTTCTTACACTTTCTTGGGTCTTGATTTTGTTCTCCAACAAAGGTTACAAGTGCCCAATCATCTTCTCCTCTCTTGGACTCTCCACATGTTCTTGACTTGCATCAATGGAATGTGGTGAAGTTGGTATTGCTGCTCTTGCATTGGAGCTACTACTCCCTAGCTTGATTTGCTTCTTTGGTGGTTCCATGAATGGGTTCTTCTTCTTCTTCATACTCTCATTTCCTTTTGTCTTTGCCATTGTGTACCTACAAGAGCAAATTCTTGGGAAGAAATATGAGTTTGTGATTAATGCAAAAGAAGAATAAGCTAATTGAGTTGTAATAATGATATGGAATAATGGAACAACTCAAGGCTTAATCATGAATCAAAGAGACAAAATAGAAATTTCACTTTTTCAAAGTTAATTTTCGGATTTTACTGTTCATCCCAAGATTATGGTGCTTAAAATCAAATTTTCAGCAAATCAAGAGAAATTGAGTTTCTAATCCAAGTAATCACTAGATAAACTAATGAATTGAAGTATGCCAAGCAATTTCACCTTTGAATAAGGGGTTTGGAATGCCCAATAAGTTTTGTGAAAAACTATTCAATTGTGAAATTAAACTTCAAATAACTCTAAACCACCTAGGTTCCACCTAGCAAAGTTCATTACAAGACTAATAAGGATGCTAATTTCAAGTTAGACAAGAGTTTAGACCAAACATGAAACTTATTGAAATTTTCGATCTTGCATAAACATAGGATTAGAGTTAGAAGACATACCTTGTGTGTTGAAAAGTGAATAAGGTTGCAAGAGCAAGTAATTCCAATTTAGAGTTATGAACAGTAAAAGTTTTGAAATCAAAACTCTTAGAGTTCCTCTAATGGAGTTTAGGGTTTTGGAGAAGAAAGAGAGGTTCTTGTGTTTTCAAGGGAAAGGTGTAAATAAGATCTAAATCCTATCAATTTTCCTTTTCAAATTCGAATTTTGATTGAAAACCGGTTTAAGTTGGTTTAGGATTGGTTAAAACCGGTTTGAATTAAATGAAAAGGGGACTTACCTTGGCCGAGAAAAGTTTTGGGCCGCGGGTCGAGCGATTTGGTCGGCCAAATTCGTTTGGTCGAGAGAATTTCGGCCGAGGCCGAGCGTTGTTTCCCGGATCGACCGGCACGGTCGGTCCGTTCCGATACAAAATCGGCCGATCGCGGCCTTCTTTCCCGGTTCGTGCGTGCGCGCGAACGGTTTTGTCGCGCATAGAGTGAATCCGGCCGAGCACGGCTTTTCCTTCCCGGCTCGACCGTACGGTCGGCCAGATGAGAATTGCTCGGCCAAAATCCCTTTGGCGCGGATTGTGTTTTCACACCTTTTTCTCCTTCTATCCTATCTTAAAACAAAGAAAACACAAAAGCAAAACAAAAACTAAGAAATTAAAGAAAGAAAAGTAAAAGTACCTCATGGGTTGCCTCCCATGCAGCGCTTGTTTTAAGTCTTTAGCTTGACTGTAAGGCTTGGCGCTCAGGAGAAGATGGAGACAAGAGGCATCCTTGATCCTCCAAGTCTTTTCTCCTTGCAATGAGTATCTGGTGGGTGATTCACAGCTGGATAGACAATCTCTCCATGAATGTCCCTTGGCACTACTGCCTTAGGAAAAAGCTTTAGAGTTCTTGTCTTTCTCCTTGAATCCTTCTAGATTCTCATCAATAAGCTCCTTTGGGAATAGAAGCTTCATGTTGCGGCCAGACCTAGGCTTTCTAACCTTCCTTCTTGGCTTGGCCTCATCTTCAATCTTGGTTGATCCCTTGGGCGGTTTTGGTGTAGGGGCCTTAGTCTTACTCCTTGCTTGTTTGGCAAGCTGCTTGGGCTTAGGAATGGGATCTTCCTTGATTGTTTCTTCAGTTTCTCCTTCTTGGGGTGGCTTCAAAGTAGCTTTCTCCTCTTGGACCATGTCAACAAAAGAGTTCTTTGTTGAACACATAGGGAAGAACATACCCTTGTTCACCTTGTTGAAAGAGATTCTTTGATTGGGGAAATCAAATATGGCACCCACAGTAGACAGGAAAGGGGTTCCAAATATGAGAGGTCTATGGCTACTCTCTCTCATTTCCACAATCTGGAAATCAGTGGGATAGAGCAATTTCCAATCTGCACCATCACATTAGGCACAAAGCCATAGGGGTTTGTGAGAATGAATCAGCATAGTTGATGGAGATGGATGATGGCTCTATCTTGGTGAGGCCTATCTTGTCAGCTATCCTCTTAGACATGATGTTCACATTGGCTCCTGTGTCACACAAAGATTGCTCAAGAATGTTACCTTTGATGATACAAGGCACAACAAACTTTCCTGAGTTATCTGTCTTGGGGATAATCTTTGGGAAGAGTCTTCTCTTTCTAGCTCGATTGGACTCTCTCTCTGGGTAATTCTCTTCAGGCCAAATCATGCAATCAACAGTAGGTTTTGAAAGCATCCATTCTGGAACTTGGTCTTCAAATCTTTCTTCTATGGCGGCTGAGTTGCAAAAGGACTTCTTGGATTCAGCTTCCTGTCTCTTAACAGCTTCCATAGTTTGAGTGACTTGAGTCTCTAGTTTCTTCACATGAGTGGCAACAGCATCATACTTGGTGTTGAGATTGCTGAACAAAGTGTCCATCTTCTCATACATCTCTTTAGTGTTTCTCTTCTGGCCATCCATGATCTGTTGGAGGATTCCTTCAAATCTTCCACCTTGTTGGTTTGGAGGAGCTTGATTTGGTGAAGAAGCATATGGCTCCTTGGGCGGATATGATGATCTCTGCTCATATCCTTGCCTTGGCTGAAATTGACTTCCTTGAGATTGGTAAGGAGGTCTTTGTTGTTGTGGATACCTTGGAGGATACACTTGGTCTTGAGGATTCTCCACATTGGGGTTTCTATAAGACATGTTGGGGTTTGGGCGATAGCTTGGATTGTATCCCTTGTTCCCATAGTTTCCAATGTAGTTCACATCTTCTTCATTGGCTTCATTAGAGAATCTCCCATGCATTCTCTTGATGAATCTTCATTAGCATCACTCATCCCTTCTATTGCATTGATATGCTTGAGCTGTCCCTTAAGAACTTGAGCCATCATGTTCTTGAGTTCAGTCATTTGAAAAGAATCAGGGGAGCTAGTAGTGGTGCGGCTTGAGCGGTCATAATCAGGACAGTTGTTACAATCACTAGCTGCAAGATTCTCAATAAGAACCTTAGCTTCATCAACAGTCTTGGTCATGAAGTTTCCATTGCTTGTGTATCCAATGAAAGCTTGTACTTGTGGTCTATGCCACGATAGAAGATGTTCCATAGGTTTCCCTCATTGAAACCATGATTAGGGCAGTCCCTAATGTACTCCTTGAATCGATCTAGCGCCTCATAGAAAGATTCATTGTTGGCTTGGCGAAAGTTGGAGATCTTGTTCCTCACAGAAATTGATCTCTGCTTGGTGTAGAAGTGGTTGATGAATGCAGCCTTGTACTCATCCCAAGTGGTGATGGAGTGAGCTGGCAGAGACTTCAACCATCTTGAAGCTTTGTCGCCAAGAGAGAATGAAAAGAGCTTGCACTTAAGGTAGTCAGCAGAGACTCCATTGGATCTTGTAGTGCTGCAAATTTCTTCAAAGTTTTCTATGTGATCAAGAGGTGCTCAGCTGGAAGTCCATTGAATTGGTTCTGTCTAACCAATGCTATGATCTGAGGCTTGATCTCATAGTCATTCCTTGCAGGAAGTGGTGGATGGATAGGGTTTCTATCCATGAAGAAAGCATCGGCAGAGTCATAGTCTCCGATTGTAGGTGCTCCAGCTTGGGTTGTGCATTCACATCTCCAGCAGGGTCTTGTGGATTAGGAGGAGGAGGAGGTGGATCTCTTCCTTCTTCTTGAGCGCGCGCCACTTCAGCGGCGTGAGCGCGAGCTGCTTCGTCGGCCATCTCTTGGGCTTTCTGCTTCCTAAGTTGCTTCTCAAGCTTGTCTATCTCTGGATGTTCAACTAGGTTGTCCTTGTTGGACCTCCTAGTCATGCACCTGAAAAGAGTCTTGGAAACAAGTTAAATCAAAAGGGAAAAACAAAAACAAAAGTAAAAATCAAAGAAAAGGAAATCAAAAACTAAAAATTCAAAAGCAAAAGAAAAGCAAAACAGGAAAAGGTTCTAGACTAGATCCTAGTCGAGTTCCAAAGGTACTGCTGCAGTCCCCGGCAACGGCGCCAAAAACTTGATGCGGAGTCAGGTTTTACCAAACTCCTAGACCTCTGCAAGTGCACAGATCGCGGAAGTATGGGTATCGAACACAAGGACTGGCTATTGAGTACACTTTGTAACTATGGATTTTGGATCAAGCTAAAACAAAAGTATGATTGAGGTTGTAATGGTGAACCGAACTAGCAAGTATAACGAGGTTGTAAGCAATAAAGGAAAAGCGCTAGGTCATAGGGGCTATCGCAGAGAAGCAAGCAATGATCAATGAAACAATGATAGATTAATTGATTAGGGATATTGGGATATTAAGAACCATCTAGAACACAGATCACGAATATAAAACCATTCCACTTTCGAGGCTCCGGCTCCTTTGCTAATCTACCTAGTCGCTAAACTTTTGGTATGTCCCTAGGTGATTAGATCAAGCATTAGAATGAATAGGTTCTGATACAGTTCACTAGATATAGATAGATCAACTTTCGCAGTCTAAGAAACCTAGCTTGTCAAAGAATATGTCCGGCGAATGATACAGCACTGTCGAGGCTCAAATCAACCTAAGATCGGATTACTAGATGCGCGGTAAAGCAATCAGCATTAGTTAAGTGCACAAGACGAGACAAAGACTCTAATATAATCCCTAGCTAATCATTGAAATCAAAGATCATGCAAGCAACTCATTGAATAGTAACCCTAGCAACCTAACTAGTGGATTACTCAGACATGATCAAAGCAAACACACATAGAGATGAAGAAAACATGATTGCAATAAAACTTAGAGTAGGAAATCGAAATACAGGGCGGCTCTCTTTCTCAAGAGGCTAAAAATCCATATATATAGTGCTAGGTCTTTCTAGAGGCGGCTTAGGGTTAAGCCGGGCTTGAAAACATAAGTTTGGGCTTCAAAAAGGGCTTCGGGTCGACCGCGGCGTTGGGACGGTCGGTCGGGACGATCGGCCGGACAGTCGGGTCGTGGCCGAGTCGGAACGGTCGGGGTCGGACGGATTCACGGTCGGCCGGCGTGGTCGACGGATGAAGATTTGGCCGATGTTCTCGGCCGGACGTGGGACGTTCTTCCCGGTCGGACGGATGCATCGGCCGTGGTACGCGAACGGTTGCGCGGCCGCGAGGCCTTTTTCCCGGCTCGCGCGCTTTGGTCGTGCGCGGCGTGGCGTGAGCGTTTGGCTTGGCCGACCGCGGGACAATGTTTCCCGGGTCGTTGCGTGATCGGCCGGTGGTTTGGACTTTGGCCGAGACTTCAGTCGGACGGATGATTTGGCCGAGCGCGGAACATCGTTCCTCGGCCAGCCGGACTGCGCGGTTGGGCGCTGTTTCTCGATAGAGCCGTCTGGACAGTCTCACTCTTTTGGTTATAACTCCTTTTCTACTCATCCAAATGATGCCATTCCAATTGCGTTGGAAAGTTAACTCAATCAGAGCACGCAGGGAACTGGTCTTGATGAAATCCATTGAGTAGATCTTTTTCTGGGCCCTCTTAAAGTTGATGCTTGTGCATGGAGCTGCTTGAAGTGCAAATCCTATGGTTTTGCTCCAAAATGCATCATTTCACCTGTTTAGACTCTAGACACTATAAACACAGTAAAACTACCTTTTTAGATAGAAAACCTGCCAAAAACCATTAGAAAACAATGCTAAAACAGTATAAAAAGTGGGTAAATTAGAGGTATATCACTCCTCCACATCTACTTGTAATTCTTCCTCTTCTTCTTCCTCTGACTCACTGGATAAATCCTCAACTTCAGAGCCCACAGATGTACACACAGGCTTTTTCCTCTTTCTACCAGATCGTTTCAAGTTTCCAAATTCGTTCTTGAAATTCCTAAGATTCTGACATATTTCTCGACCACTTAAAATTCTTCCCTTTCTGCCCAGTTCCATTTTGCCATCAAACCACGACTTCTTTCCCCTAAAACTATGTGTAGGTGGCAGCCGCTTTCTTTGACACATGTCCACATGCTTCCTGCTGAACTTCAACCACATACAATCAGTATTTTTCCCACACAAAGGACATCCCATTTTACCTTTCACTTTGCAGCCTGCAAGATTTCCATAAGCCGGGAAATCACTTATTGTCCAAAGTAGCATCGCCTTAAGAGTGAAAGTAGACTTACTAAAGGCGTCATATGTGACCTCCCCGTTATTCCACAAGTGGTTTAGATCCTCTATGAGCGGCTCCAAGTAGACGTCAATGCTATTTCCAGGCTGATGTGGACCAGGAATCAACAATGTAAGCATTATGTTTTCCTTCTTCATTCATAAATCAGGTGGTAAGTTGTAGTTGACAAGCAAAACAGGCCAGCAGCTATACATACTGTTCTTCATGTTGAACGGATTAAAGCCATATGTGGAAAGTCCAAGCCTCACGTTCCTTTCTTCTGATGCAAAGGAAGGGTATTTGGCGTTCATCTGATCCCAAGTCACTGAATCCACCGGGTGTCTGAGTTTGCCGTCGATGCTCTTATTAGTGAAATGCCACCTTAGATCTCTAGCCATATCCTCTGATCTAAACATTCTCTTCAGTCTTGGGATTATTGGAAAATAGCGTAAAACTTTCTGTA